ACATGTGAGGCTTGTGTTGCTAAATCCTCAACTGAACTCTGTAATCGCTATTTTTCGTCGCTTTTCACGCTTGAATCTACCACTGAGTTAATGCTTCGAGAAATCCTTTTGATCACCATGGATTTGGCGTATTCCCAATTGCGAAGGAAACTTGATAACTTGGTGTAGGGTAGGCGGAACAACATCCATTTCGTGAATCCATGGTCTGCCGAGAATCATATTGTACGCCATGTCCATTTCTATAACTTGAAATTTGGTATCTTTGACTACTCCTTCTGCGAATGTGGTGAGTATTATCTCCCCTTTTGTTACAACTCTTGAGTTGTCAAAACTGGACAAGGTCCGTGTTATCATTGGCTTGCATCTCATTTACCACTCTTAGCAGAATGATATTTACAGAACTACCTGGATCAATTAAAACTCGTTTTACATTAGTATCATGTACAAGTAAAGGTATTACCAGTGCATCATTGTGTGGGATCAACACGGCATTTGCATCTGCATCCTCAAATGTTATACTATCTCCTTCTAAAACCTGACGAACTCGCTTCCCGTGGGTGATTGTGATTTTTGACACCTTCTTTGCTACCGTATACGTTACGCCATTGATCTCCTCCCCTCCACTTATGACATTAACCGTTCTCTTTGGTGATGGAGGTTTCGGCGGTTCCTGCCTATTCTTCATATATGCTTGCTTTCCCTTTTCACTAAACAATTCAGTTAAGTAACCTTGTTTTAATAGATGTTCTACTTCACCTTGTAGCAATCTGCAATCTGCCATTTTGTGACCGTGATTGTTGTGAAACTCGCACCAAAAATTGGGATTTCTCCTGTTTGGGTTCGATCTCATTTCCTTTGGCCACCGTACCTTATCTCCCATGCTTCTTAAAACAGCCACCAACTCAGATGCGCTAACATTAAAACTATAACCACCAAATTTTTCTTTTGAACCTCTGTCGTCATCTCTTGTGTCTCGCGTGTTTCGCTCATTTCCATACCTTAACGACAAACCTAATTCTCTGTCCCTTGATCTAGGGTCATACCTTGGATTTTCCTGCTTGAATCCCTTCTTGCTGGTCCCATATAAGGTTCGTACCTATTTTTACCGGACCTTTTTTCAGTTTCCGCCCGCATTGAACTTACTCTTTCATCTTTCTGAGATTGGGTGATAGTATCTTCTTCTATCCGCAGCTTTGTGTTGTATCTATTGTAAACATCATTCCAGGTTGTTGCAGCGAATTCTCGTAAGCTTTCTTTGAGTCTCCTCGTGGCTTCTGAGCTTTTTTCATTTAGATTACTGGTAAATGCCATAGTCGCCCAGTTATCGGGAACACGAGGCAGCATCATCCTTTCACGCTGGAATCTATCTACAAATTCCCTGAGCAGCTCCGTATCTCCTTGTTTAATTTTGAAAATGTCCTCCATCCTCTTTTCAACTTTCTAAGCTCCCGAGTGTGCTTTTATAAACGAATCTGTAAGCTCAGCAAAAGAATCAATAGAATTTTCAGGTAAAAGAGAGTACCATATCAGTGCTCCCTTCGCGAGTGTTTCTCCGAACTTTTTGACCAATACTGATTCAATTTCTTGCTTGGTCAAGTCGTTGTCCTTTACTCCAGTTGTAAATGCAGTTACATGGCCCCGTGGATCAGTTGTTCCATCGTACTTCGGGATATCGGGCATCTTGAATTTTTTTGGAATTGGCAAAGGAGCGGCACTTGGCTTCCAAGGTTGTTGAGAATATTTCTCCATATCTATTCCCTTTGTTACAGGCGGTACACCAGGTATTTGCTCTATGCGGTCGCTCTGTTCCTTGAGTTGCTTCTGCAAAGTTAGTACTAAACTTTGTAAATCAGAGTTAACTGGGTTACCTGATCCTCCATCACGAGATTCACTAGGAGTTCCTCCGTTGCCTGAATTAACGAGTCCCGAGCGGGGATTTTCTACGGTTGCATTGTTGTTTGGAGGTGGAGTTGGTGGTATAGTCGGCAACCTGCTGACAAAAGCTTGAAGAGCATTGTTGACATGTTGGGCGATTAATTGCTTCAACAGTTCATCAATAGCTTGCTCCTTCTCACGCTGCTCATTCATATTTGATTCAGATCTGTCAGGAGTCCCCTTCCGAGACTGCCGAGGAGAGTTTCGTGGTGAGGGGACTGGAGTTCCATCTCCTTGTTGATTTAGCTAATTCAACTGATGTTGTTGAGTTTGTTGGTTTTGTAAATTTGGTTGGTCGTTGTTGTTGACGTTCGACATGATTTTTTCTTAATAGAAGAATGGATTTGGAAAGTGAGGAGATTATCAGATTTCCGGTAACGGAACCAATTTGTTTAACCAGAAAATAGGAATTTCGGTCAAAGCTTATTTTCTGAAGTACTCGGGTTACTGATAATCAAATAAAAGAATATCTTTGCAATGGAAAAAGAAAATTAGAACGAGCAATAGCAAAGCAATCAGTATAAAGCAAAGTAAATAAGTATATTCCAATAGTAATCCGAACGTGTCCATAAAAATGTCGTTTCTCCCTCTTTTGTAGCTATTTCTAAGTACAATGTCTCTTCCTTCTTATAATCGAGTCATAATGAGCAATTAATGATATTAATGAAACGTTATAATTGGCAATTGTAACTGTTTCATGAAGATTCTGTAACGTTTCTAATCATTCATACTCATTAATTGAAGGTTAACGAATCTGTACTTTTTGCTATCTTGATTCATTCCATCGATGTCTCTTCAAATTATAAAGAGACCCGAGCAACCGTTTATTCTTGTCTCTTAGACATCTTGCTCGTACCTATTAAGATTCGCATCTCTTTAAGTGTTCTTCTTCGTCTGTCACTTTTCTATTGATCCACGTGTCTTGCTACTACAGCCACATAATTAATTCCAAGTATAATATTGATTTTCCCCAATACAGAAGTTATTTTGGTTTAATGCGGTAAATCAAACGGCTATACTTTTGTAATAGTTCAACTTTTGATTGAGAGACTAAGCGATACTTAAAGGTATGTTATGGAGAAATACACCAACAACAGACAGATATTTATCAATGATAAATATACAAAAAGGAGAAGCCACAACTGAGATGTGCATGATAGTGAAGTAAAAAAAAGAATTGTTTGTGCCTAAAACCTGCGGCCTAACAATGTTTTGAAGAAAACAAGGTGCCTGCTTGCCTGTGTTTACGGTCTATTTACATGTCACTCTGCATGCTATTGACTTTGTTTTCCCAATTAATAGAACCAAAAATTTAAAAAGTAACGACCAAAACAAGAAGAGTGGAAGAAAAAACCATAAGCTAATCGTATTACAGGGTAAATATTGGACATTATTAGCAGCAGGGTAAATATTGGGACATCATATGATTGTGTACTATTAATTTTTTTATAAATATGTATTAACACTAAGTCTACGCCAATTGTCATAAAAGAAAGAACAAATATGCTAGTGCATTTTGGTCTGAACCAGGATAACTCAAATGATATATATGTATGGGCTAGTTATTTGGACAGAGGCTATTGGGCCAGGGGTCAAATTGCGAAGAGACCCAAGAATCAGAAAGCCCAACAAGAGATTTGTCTGGGATCCGGGTTAAGGAAGCACGTGACGAAGTGAGTAAAAGGGGTCATCGTCTGGGTTTGTAGGATTAGGCAAATGTTACGTGAAAAGCTCTGTACTTCTCATCTCTTTCTGTCCAAGCTTCTCATCTCCTTCTTCCATGATGTATTTCTAGCTTCTCATCCCTTCTGTTATCCTGCAGCTATCCTTTTTACTATTTCATTGCAAATTCCAGTTGATTGTAGTTCAATTTAGTGAATCAATATAGCCAGTTGGTTTGGTCGATATTTGGTTTATTACAATTTCGTTCATCAATTTAATTTCATTTTTATTTACTACCCCCTCCGTTTATTTTTTTTATATGTATACTAAAAATAGATTTTTATTTTTACTTATCACTTTACGTATATCAAGAGAAGATTAAAAAAAAGTTCATGTTATACCCACAGTATTTATTACTCATTTCAAATTATTTTCTCAAATCTAATGAAATATGCATTGATTAATATGGGTATCATGGTAAATTATGCACTACATTTATTATTTTTTAAGGAGCGTGAAAAGTGAAAACATGCCAAGTAAAAGTGAACGGAGGGAGTATAAATAACTATAAAGGCCGGTGATAGGTGAAGGTGGGGAAGGGCATGCAAAATGAAAGAAGGCGGCTTTTCTGAAAGTTACAATACATCTTTTATTGGCAAGACTTGCCCACAACTACCCACCATCTTCAATAATGTAGTGGTATTCCGTTCAAGTTGTGTTTTTGCATAAGAACGCAAAATTAAAATCTAAGGAAAATAAATTTATAATCAGCAGTCTAATTTGTATAAACTAATATAATCAACTCGAAAAAAGGAAATTGACAATTGACTCACGTTACCTGAATACGTGCTGCTTCTTGTTACTGACCATTTAAACACAATTTGCATTGAATAAATTCATTTACAAGTTTTTCATGATCAAATGGTAAAAATAACTCAATTAATCAATTTGTGGAGATGCTATTGGTAATCACACTTCCGCTTAGTAGGGAAGATTTTAAAAAAAGTAAGCGAGCACATACTTAATGTCAGCCATCTTTATAATATTTTCTACACGTAAATTGGGGTGTGTGGATTGTGGCCTACAAAGTTTTTGTTTGGGAATTAGGTTTAAAAATAACAAATTGTAATAATAATATATATATATATTAAAACCTAAAAGCAAAAAGCAATAAAATATATTAACTTTTAAATCGAAGTATCCCTGCATTGTGCCTCAATGTTATCACTTTAACTTAACAGTAAGCTACTTATAATTCCTGCCACAAAATTTTTAGTAACACACACACACCAAAAAAAGGGGGGGGGGAGGGGG